CGTCAATTCGAACACTTAAAACTCTTCATAATCTTCCGTGCGTCTTTCAGTTCCATGCAAGACACGGTTTAGCCAACTCAGTCTTATTGACCTCGAGACTTTATACAACTGATTCGCTCGCTCATTAGAGCGGCATACCAAAAAAGAAAGGAAAGATTCAATCCAGACGCAGGTTACCCTAAGGCTAACTGCGCATTCGATGCTTATTCCTATACTCTGAATTCAACTTCTTATCCTATTCCGCTTTGGCTGTAGCTTGTAATCGAGTTCAAGTCAATAGTCGCGTCAGGGTAGGCGTTCCGATGCGATACGATATATCAACCTAAACCCGAACCCAATCCCCTTCCTTCTGTCCTCGCTTGGCCTTCTCCCTTGCCTTCTGTTGGATTTCCTTTCTTCCCCTGTCGATCTCGCAGCAGCCTTATCTTTTCTTTTCCTTTGAATCCTCTCTTTTTTTTGGTAAAGAGAGCTTTTTCTTCATCTTTTATCGAGACTCTATACATTTTATCATCCAAAACCTCTTCATTAGCTAAATCCAAGTCTCCTAGAATTGCTTCCTTGGCCCAGCCACGGGTTGCAGTAACGAAACCTTTCACTTTTGATTTAATTCATTCAGATGTCTGGGGGCCATCCCCAATACCTAAAAAAGGTGGTTCTTATTACTATGTTTCATTCATTGATGATTATTCGCGTTATTTTTGGGTTTATCTCATATCCTTCGGCTGTTATTTCTGGCTTATCACCATAATCAAAAATTCTTTGGCACTACTCCTGATTATTCAGAATTACGGGTCTTTGGTTGTGCATGTTTTGTATTATTGCCTAAACGTGAACGCACCAAACTCTTCCCGGGTTGGTAGAAAATTTCTCAACTATTGGGTAAACATAGATCCTAGAGAGCGAGTTTAAGCAGCATCACTAGAAGAAGGAGTTTATGAGGTTTTTAGACTCAAGGCTTCCGTATCTGTTCTGGTTTATCAAAAGAAAAGGTTTTTAGATATCTGGTCCAACCCTTAGGATGGAAAAGAAGGTCAAAACGGACCTATTGATTGACCATAGATGCGAACTCCCACACCCGTAGCCAGTATCAGCGACTAGTCTTCGGGCTACGAGGTATATAGGGCGAGAGCCTGCTAAAGAACCCAGTAAATTGCACTACACTCAGTACGCACTTATTTCCGGGACCCCTTGATTCAGCATACAGCAGCAAGCACACATCTTTGCGGTCTTTAGAAATCTTTTTTTATTAAGCCGGTGTCAGCCTTTAGGGTACATCCTACCCTAATCTTTAGTGTTGAACCATAGGTTCGGTACAAGAGGAATCCTTCTTAGACTCGGTTCGCCGTCAGTTTGCAAACCGCAGGTGGGTGCGAACTACTAGTAGAGGCCCGTCCAGGAGGTTAGTCAAAATAGAGGACCTAGAACGCCTTGGTGAATCAGACCCAGAGATCATGGCCAACAACGCCAGTCACCGAGGCACCAGGAACCCTCTCTATGATGGGGACAATGAAGAGTCCACTGGCTCTAACCACCAGCTGAACCCTACAGCTCCGGCAAATCAGCAACTTTCTAACGAGGCAGTTAGCCGTCAACTATCTGAGATTGCCCGGATGCTAGCACAATTGACCTCGCAGGTAGCCAAATACCCTGGCTGCACCTGCTGCTCAAGGAACAAAGCCTCCATCTACCACCCCGGCTCAGGGGACACAGATCCACAACCACCAAGCCAACCAAGAGTAGCAGATGCTAGACTTGTATACCCCGTACCCCCTCCAGTTCAGAATCAGCCCGCAGTTGCTGAACCTGTAGATCACTACGAGGAAGAGATCCGAAGAAAGCCTCCTCCAGTACCGGCCGTGTCCTTGGCTCTCACTCCCATGAATCAGATAGTGCCATACGTCCCACCACAGCCGTCCGATCCTCTGATGGAGAAGATCAGTCGCCTTGAACGGGCAGTTAAGTTGTTGAGTGGGGACAAGTATGATGTTGCAGATTTTTATAATCTCTCCCTATACCCCAAAGTCAGGCTTCCATACGGTTTTAAGTGGCCAGAGATAGAGTTGTATAACGGAACCGGATGCATAACGAAATAGGTTCAAAAGAGACTCTCGGAGGAAGATCAAATTGCTATGGTCAACAAGAGCCTGAACCCTGAGTATACCAATAGAATAGGTTGACACTTACCCATCACCCAACTTAAAAAGAAAGGAAGGGGTCCTTGATCCTCGCTGACCCACATAAAGAACAAAAAAATAAGGAGTTGAAAGGCATTGTTACTGCGCGGACGAGGAAGCTCTTGACGGAGCCTACCTCGGAGTTGGGCAGAGGGAAGGAGTAGTTCGCTTACTTCTACCCTTGGTTGGGAGAGAAAGTCCCCTCCTTGAGAAGCGTGGAAAGGATCAAAGAGAAGAATCGGAGTGGTGAGCAGGGCGAGAGGTTAGGAAACGAACCTCCGTCTACGGAGTACTTACTAAAAACTATTTTCTTTAGGGAAAGCCCTGACTTCCTTCCTTCAAAGCCTAGAGCACCGTGCAGTCTCAAGCCGAATACGCTATATCAGCCAGCACAACTTCAGGCAAGGAATTGTTCCCTCTTTCTTGTTACTTAGGCTGCCCGAAAGGAACTAGAAGTCACCTTTTCTCTAAGCTAAGCCGCAAAGAAACTGGAACAAAGAAAGAACAAGGATTTCATCCAAGGTGACAGTACAAGAAGAGAAAAGAGAGATTTCTTTTTAGGGCAGGGCTATTTGCCAAGGTCGAACTATGCAACATCTGAGTAGAAAGCAGGTTCTAGGTCAGAAGGATCAAGGGCTAGAGCTTTAATATAGCTTTTCCCTTTTATATGGGATAGGGCTGATCTACTAGAATAGGGCTTTGGAGAACTCCTAGAATAGAATTCCCCTTATGTGATATCCTAACTAGTACCAGTCTAACTAAGAGTCATCTGCTAGGCCAGCTTCTTTTGAGTAAGCCAGTGCTAAAGAAGAGGGCTAAGGAACAAGCTAAAAATTCATTGGGATAGATGCAGTTCCAATTTTAGCGGTGAGTGCTAAGTACTTCGATTAATAGTTTGCAGGATTGCTAGAATAGCAATAGGCTTTTCTTTAGAGTAAGACTCTTTGCTTGCTTCTTTCGGCCAGCTGATGATCCTGAATTTACATACTAATCTGTCCTAAAAGCCAATCCATTTGCAGAAAAAAGGTAACCTCCAGCCTGTGATTTTTAAAGTAGTCTCTGTCCCTAGTTATAAACTCTTCACCAGCCCCAGGAGGGATTCTGCTTCGCTCCTCCCTTTTTCTCGTCCATACAGCCCTTGTAGCAGTACTTTCTAGCCGTAGTACAAGTTCCTCTATGGACAGTAGCAGGATAAGTCTCCTCATTCCCACTGAAAGTCACAGCCCCGGGGTAATAATAAGTCCTACTGTAAGCCATTGGCCAGCCTGTAGGAGTTGCGTTATAGGCAGTAGAAGTTGTAAGCCTATCTCTTTCTTCTCCTTACCTAAGCCCTGGCATCGGATATTGCTCGTAACAAGGCTAGTCCTAGTCCTAAACCCTAATAAGTCTTAAGCCCTCTCTTAACTTAAATAAAGGGTTTAAATGAATTCTCTTTTTTCAATTCATTCAAATAGGCGAGCCAGTGATTGATGTGATCATTATCTTGCAGGTATGGCACAAATCTCGTTTAAGCCATCAGGGAATGAAAAGAAAGCTGCTTCTAGTGCAAAATTGAGGGCTTTCCTTATGTAAGCCAGTTCTTATCTAGTAAAGCAATCCTAAAGGCCATCAAATTACAGTGCGAGTTCTAAGCTAGCCTCTTTCTTTTATGCCTTGAGAGCCACCAGTTCCCAGTCCAGCAGTGCTTGTCTTGTTTCTTGTTGAAAGGTTTGAAAAGTCTCTTTTTACTCTGAGTTTGAGTAAGCGCTTAGGGGGAAGAAGGTCAACAAGCAGTATCTCACCTCTTTTATTTTCTTTAGGAAAGCCAGTTTCAGTCCTCCAAACGATCAAATAAATGGATATGTATGGTCCAGTTGAAGTCACAGTTTAAGGGAAAACCTTTTTTGGAGGTCCCTTTGAGCAAGGAGCGGGATAGATCGGCGGGAGAGAGACATTTTTATAGCCGGTTATGCTCTAGGGTTCCTATAGTTCAAGCAAGAAATTCGTATTTCATCCCTTACCTATTAGGCTAGCCAGGCCAGTCTTTGCCTACTCAAAATAAGTCTTTTCCCGCAGAAAAAATAGAATTTATTTTTCCAGCCAGTCCTCAAAGCTAGTCATAAGCTCATACAGTTGTAAGCCTTCCACTCAGTGGAACATGAGTTGCCTACCCAATTTTAGTTGGAGTCTATAGCCATAGCTCTGCAAGCGAGGACTAATATCTTCACCCAGCCAGCCAGTCTTGCTTACTTGGTGAGAGCCTTATGTGTTTAAGGCAAATATATCTTCATTTGCAGGGATATTTAGGAGAAACTAAAATCAATCTTGGGGAAGTAAGTGAACTCTTACAGTTACCTCTTTCCTTTCTTCTTTGAGCTATCTCAACTCTTCTTTTCGAGTTATAGTTGCTATAAGCAAAGTATCCCATTGAGTTGTTAGTTCTTTCTAGTAGACTAGATAAACATGCATAGCTTTGCCTTAGTAAGTACCCTCTTTTGGGCTTAGCCGTTGCTAAGCTTATGCCAGCTAGCTTTTGTTCACTTCGAACACCTCGTCGAAAATCCCAATCACTTGCTGAGACAAGCTCTAATCCTATTTCTGCACTGCTGCCACTTCCTTCTTACCATTTCTCTCCGACAATCTCTACGAGACCACAGCTTATTGACGATCTAGAAAACTCTGTGCACTAAGGTCATATTCATATTCCTCCAGTGCAGCATTCCATGCTCTAACGAGTTATGAAGAAGTTTAAAGTCTGAAACTAGGGCGATTCGGGGAGAGAATTTCCAACTATTCAGTTATCCAAAATCTATTATACCCATGTTACAGAACTAGCTGACCGGAACTTATATTATTCATATTTCTTCTCGATAGCCAAAAACCGAATCAAGAGATTCATTGAGCAACTCGTGAGTCAAGTAGTAGATTAGCCCTCGTAAGGCCTCCAACTAGTTCAGTATCTGTCCTAACGTCAGGAATAGAGTAAAGGGACGACCTTGTTAAAAACTCCTCTCTCTTCATTTACTGTAATGTGCCAATCATTGCACAAGAGCAAAAGATTAGCTACGGCACCTGGTGCATTTCCCCAAGGGTGTCCTAAAGTTCCTCCACCGAATTGTAGTAGGTAATCATCTCCAAAGATCTCGGTCAAAGCAGGCATATGCCAAAGGTGAATACCACCCGAAGGGGCCTGGTAGAGAGACCCTGAAATAAAGACCGCGGCTTCGATCTTTTTCAAGAAAATCATCACGTAGTAAATCAAAAAAGCCCAAAGTGTTGTCTCTTTCTCCTTCAAGTTTACTACTACTGTACCAGAGTGAATATGATCTCTACCAGACATACGTAAGGCTTTAGCTAGTACACGAAAGTGTATACCATGATTCTTCTGTCTATCAATAACTGCGTGCATTGCACGATGGATGTGAAGAAGTAGACCATTATCTCGGCAATAATGAGCCAAGCTAGTATTTGCAGTGAATCTCCCTGTTAAGTAGTCATGCATTATGATAGGAACTCCCAAATCTCTGGCAAATACAGCCCTTTTGATCATTTCTTCGCATGTACCCGCAGTAGCATTCAAGTAATGCCCTTTGATTTCACCTCTTTCAGCCTGTGTTTCTTCGGCACAAAATAAAATAAGAAAGGTTCTCTCCAAGGCATAAATGGTTGGGAGTTCACATTCTCATCATCTTTTGTAAAATCAAGTCCACCACGTAGACATTCATAAAGCGCTCTACCGTAGTTCTTAGCGGATAAGCCCAATTTAGGTTTTATGGTACATCCAAATAGGAGACTACTTGTTCAATTTCTCTCTTTCAACTTGGATGCCGTGAGGCGGGCCTTGGAAAGTTTTAGAATAAGCAGGAGGGATTCGCGCTACCTCCTATTCCTACAGAAAGATTTATTTTCGGGAACCAAAGACGTTGACGATCGATTCCTTATTCCCAAAAGGGAGTTATTGCCGACCCAACCACCATAAACAGAATACCCATTTCCGACCGGACAGGAGAAGCAACTAGAGTTGACTTCTTTGTTGGACCGACAGATCGATCAAGACCAGTTGCGAGCAATAGCGTCTTACACTTTCCCCAAGACCAAGACACGAGAGATTCGCCATAGTCCAATCGATTGAGGAGGACAGCCAATGACCGAGCTTGAGGTGGGAATACATAAAAGATTAGAAATCTATTCTTCCTTTTATCTCCGCAGAAGGCCGGATTTATGGTCAACGACTTTGACAGCCTTTCCTTCAAACAAGGTTTTGAATCCTTCTCCCCCGCTTAGGACAGTAAGGGGAAGTAGGGATATTCCGATTCCTTCGTGGGGAGTCAACGAAGGCAGCCGCTCCAGCAGCTTTAGTACTTAGTTAAGGCCCCAGCCCTTATCCCGGTTCTTCTCCGGCTCCACCAGCAGCCTTTATCAGTTGCTATGGTTCCCTTCCCGAATGCGAATCTCTATCTCTTTGCGGCTACAGCCTATTCTAATAGGACCCATATTCAATCTCTTAAGTGACTTCTGAACACTAGCTAGCTCTGGACCTACCTAGGAGCCAACGTTTAAGACAAGGCTAAACGAGGCCATATGTGTAGTAAACTCCTCTCGTTGTGAAAAAAAAGAGTGAATCTCTAGAGCCTACGAGCCGAATCTTTTTTGTCTCTCAATAGCCGAGTAGTTCCTTTAGTTCCTTATACTATTGTACTAGTAGGGCTTGCCTATTTTCCTCCAATAGTCAACTTCACTTTCCTCCACTCGCCTGAATTACGAGGAGTTATTATACCGAATCCCAGATCCCTATACTATAGTAGGGCCCCCCTTAACCCATCGCGAACTTCGTTCACTGCGTGATAAAAATAGAAAGTATAGCTTTTACACGGGAACAGAACGAGCCGGAGCGAAGGAGGGATTGTACCACAGCTTGCTTCGAGACTGAAAGGAAAAGTGATCCTATTCCTCACTGCTCAGCTGCCTTGGTATCCGTGTTAGGAAGTCAAAAACACTCCTCTCCTTGCCGCTGCCAAAGATGTATGTTGAAGTCTCGGAAACATGTTTAAGTCATTGACATTTATCGGAGAATCGACAGTTCGTCTTGTCTCGGGGAATCCTAGATCAATCATAGATCTGGGCGGAAGCGCCCTTCCCTAAGCCATAAGATACCTTCTCCTAATCATCGGCGTGACACCTATTATTTAGTTTCTCGAAAGATGCAGCTACAGCCTTTTCGGCTTCGAAAGGCATTGTTGAAATTACACAGCGAACTCGACCAACAAAGGATGGCAGTACTTGAACCTCACATTCGCGAAAAAGCTGGTAACATGACCCTATAGCAAAGGGGAGAACCCCATAGGTCTGCATCTGCATTTAGCATTGCCTTCACCTTTCAATGGATTGGCTGCAGTAGCGGTTCCCTCTTAAGAAGTTCGATCAATAGTCTTATGCCTCGTATCCTTCAAGTGTTTTCCGGCAGAAAAGGAAAAGGCTTAAAATACACCTTTCAAGGGTCAGTTTTCTTATGGATTTGACATCTTGTCTTGCGTGTGCCGTCTTGTTAATAGCGAATGAAGTAGAACCAGAATGAAGGGGCGATGATCCGCCCACACACATTGGTAGTAGGAGAGGCAGCCACTTGGGGCCTATCCATTCCATACCCAAACGCAACTCAGAATGGCTATGATTAGTATAGTTAACCGCCGGTGCTACTTCCTTAGTGAAGTATCCCATTCCGACTTCTGTAGGGTTTGTTTACCGATCACAGTTTAAGCATTGCACCTCACTAGGACGGTTTTCTTTCTTCCCTTAGAGTCCTTCTAGCGGGTCTTAGTGCCTTTCTCTCTTCCACAAGAGAGAGGTAAGATCTTACCAAACTTCAAATACATACTTTTTTTAAAGAATTGGATATAACAAACTACTTACTTTATTAGCATAGAATTACCTTCAATCTCTTCTCTTCTGATGGAGATTAGGAGTCAAGCCCGTAAAGATCCTAAACGAATGGCAAAAGTCCCTTGTATTTATTCGGCCATCGAAAAGGCAAAAAGCAAAAATACCGACAGATGGGATCGCCCGAAAGAGGATTGAAGGACGTAGAAATAAAGTCCAAAATAAAAAGCGTCAAAACAGACATCTACAAGTACAAGGAACCCCAACTACAAAACGTCCAACAAGTGGTTCAAACCACGATAGCATGCTTAGCTATAGTAGGTGCAATCAAGTTAGGGGTGGGACCTACTAATGACAGAAGTAGGAAGGGCGATAGAAGCAGGTGTACAGAGTGAGACCATGGATGCCATAGCACCGATAATCGAAGGGGGAAATAGAAAGGGCGGGAACTGACAACAGCGGGATCAAGATCCTAATAGGAAGTGCTCTCTTAGTTATCGCACTAACAGCGGCAGCCATAAAAGAATTAGGCATTCATTCTTTCTTTCCTAACTCTCTGATAAAATGTGATGTGACTAATGTTAATGTAGATGAAGAAAAGAACGAAAGGGTAGAGTCTCTTTTTCATATAAAAATATGTACTTTCTTCCAGTCTTGGAATGTAGTGAAGGCTCTGATCTGAGCTCTTCAAGCTGGATTCGTCCTTTCCTGCCTCAAGGGAGACCTATGAGTCCAATTCATTTATACTTCACTCTTTTGGAAAATAGTGGCCAGTTATCTCCAATAGAAAGTTTCCAGGGACAAAGGGTCCGACAAGGAACGAAGTCGCTCGACTGAAAGGTACGAGCGTAATGCCTCTCAACCTCTCCTTTGTTCCTAGCCACATAAAGCACCTGACACGCTGAGGAATTTTTGCTCGCCATATTGCCTTCCAAACAGTCCCTGCACTACCACCTTCCAGTTTAGAAATGGCATCATAGGCTGACTTCATAGAGAACTCACCATTGGATGCTCCCGACCAATAGATAGCATCCTCATATTCATCATTTACAAGAACATTTATCGCTGCAATTCTATGGACCACTTCATCAGGGAGAATATGCTGAAATTCCTCTCACTTCCACTGATTATTCGATCCTCATAAATCCGCTATTTTGGCTTGAAGTTTTGCTTGATCAACCGGGCCAAAAGCATACTCCAAGAGTGGTTTATCCATGATCCAACGATCTAACCAAAATCTCGCCAGCTTGCCATTCCCTACCACCCACTTCACCGCTTCATTCACCTCGTTCCAGCTGTTCACTATTCCCTTCCAAACATAAGAAGCTCCCTGAGTAGGTTTCTCCAGTTGCACACCTCGGCTAGGCATGGGATATTTATTATGCAGCACTATCGTCCATAATCTATCCTTTTCCATGAAGAATCTCCAACCCACCAAAGAGGCTTTATTCATTTCAGCCCTTTTTCGAAAGCCTAGGCCCCCTTGATCCTTCGGTTTGAAAATCTCATCCCAGCTTACTAGGTGCACCTTCCTCTTTCCCTCTGACTCCCCCCATATAAAAGCTCGACTCTGCCTATCTAGCTCCTCACACACCGAGAGAGGCATTCTCCTAGTTTGCATGGTGTATGAGGGGATTGCGGATAGAACTGACTGTTGAAGAGTTATTTACTCGCCCAGCGAGGGATAGTTGCCGTGCCTTCCACCCCAGTCCTTTCAATCAGAAAGACAAATAAGGAGATGATTAGTCTCTCGTTGAAGGTTTGGCTTGACTCTGTTCGCTGAGCTCTTCGCCTTGCCTTTGTCGGATGGGGATTGGTTACATGTCATGTGCATTCTTATTTAGCGCGCTATGGTGAGTCCACTACTGAGTGAGCAGCCAATTTTTGATACTCCGAGAAGTGAAAGAGGGCTTTTGCTTCCCTAAAAGAGTTTTCTTCTTTGCTTATCAAAGGCAGGAATTGGATTGGATAAAGCGTAAACTCTGGAGGCGTAACCTCCGAGGGTTAGGTTCGTAGCAACTAAAGAGGTTTTCAAGGTACAAAAAATGGTCTGGTTTAGACTAAAAAGAAAAGGCTTCGGGCCTATCTAACTTACTGTTAGCTAGCTTTGCCACAGCAGTACTCCTACTTCCAGATCCAGAAAGATTTGAAACAGCAACATTATATTATAGTGGCATAGTGAAACCCCCGATGAGGTTAAAGTAAAAGAAGATCACCGTCTCCTTACCTGTCCACGTTACGGTCGAAAGAGAAACCCTTATGAATGAATGAAACCCTGTTCGGCTCGGAACCGGTACCCTCTTTTGAAGAGCCTTATTCGGCTGAATCAGCAGATTGGAAAGGCGGGGATCCAGCTGCTGTATCCGACAAGGATCGAAAAAGGCTGGCTGGCTTGGATTGTCTCGGGCTGTTAAGAATGATATAATTCTCGAGGCGGAGCGGAGACTTTACATTCTTTTGTTTACGAAGGTGGTTTGCCAGGATGATCTACTATTTGCATAGTTGGAGTGGAACAAAAGATGCGAGGATTGGGGAGCACCCACCTCTTAACGGGCGGCTGGGAGCGGATCTTGCTACGGATGGAAGGCTTTAATTAAATAAGACTGCCGTCTCTAATTTCCTTTCTTGAAACCATCCCCTTGCACTCCTCACGCAACATTAGAGGGCCGGGCCCCCTTCAAACGGAGGCTGGCAGGGAACGGATTCCTATGCCTCGAGAGCTGGGAAGTTTTGGGTTGGGCTCTGCCCCCATCTAAAGCACAGACAGGCTATGAGACCGACCTGGAAACAACGGTTTCTGAGAGCTCCCAATGTAACAACCTGAGATCCTGTTTCAAGGGTGGTGTGAGCTAGAGACATCGTCAATTACATTTCTACCTCATTTTGCACTTTTGTTGCTTTGAAGATCATCGTCTAGTTTTGTTAGAGCAGGTTCAATACCCTCGATTCGACGAGACTCGTCGAATTTAGTTGTGTTCTTGTGTAATAGTAACTCTCTGGAAGTAGCCCCCCTTTTTTACTTTAAGTCTGGCTTTTCGACCTGGAGGAGAAAGCGACAGCTACATGGGCAAACCTATCTTGTGCACGTATCCGTGTAGAACTCGACATACAGGAGGCTCCCAATCGATTCACTAAGCTAGTTACCAGTACCCCGACAGCTGCCACCTGATCAAAGCGGGAAAGCTGGAACCGTGCCATCTTTAACCACAGCTCTATCTCTTGTTTTGGTTTTGTGCCCTT